AACCTGGCACAATACAGCTAAGACAAGTTGTATAAATTTGTGACTAATACCTAAACTTTAATACAATAAAACATATTTTAAAATCTGGGGCAAGAGCTTTGAAATTAACTACCAATTAAGGCAGAAAAAAAGTCAGAAAATTCAAACCCATATTAACTAGACAACAATCTCTTCTAAAATACGTATTTTTTACCTTGCTGCAACCTAAAATTCTACCTTCAGACACAAAACTATAAAAATGCCAATATATAACAACTTTTTAAAAGCTGATAAATTATAAAGCCTTTGTTTTATAGGTATTGACATAGATGTGTATTAAATACTTTGCATATATTTGTGTTTATATATTATTTAATGGCATGAGATTAATTTAAAAATAAGGGCACTCAGTAACCTAAAAACATAAACCCACATGATTCATTATTTATGTAACTTTAAAAAAGTTTTAAAAATTATGACAAAGGAATCCTTAACTGAAAACATGTACACTGCCTGTGTTAGGCAACCAAAATTAAATCTTAAATGCCTAAAGATTTTTTCCTGTTTTGTAAAGGTATAAAAATAACAAAAACAAAGATAATTAAAATTTCTAAGTTTAATATGTTAAAGACTTAAAATCAGAGTCAGATAAACATGGTAACAAATATAGCACTGGCTAGACATTCTTACTGAAATGTTTAAATTGTTTAGCTTCTCACAAAATGGTATATAGTAATAGTCATTATAAAGGTTGCTTCTTACATCAATAAAAGGGGGCCTAAATACAATAGTTTATAGTGATTTAAACAGTTAAAGTATATAGCAAAAATGGCTTTTAAATTCCTGATTCTTTTTAATGAGTAGCAGGTAAATGCCCCAGTCTGCCAACTGCCTATCCCTATAGTATCTCTGTGTCTTTACTGCATCAGTTTAGGACTGGTCCTCAGGGCTACTTTCTTAGACAAGAATGGTTTACAAAGCCTGATAGCTTCTACCTGGTTGTTCTATTCAGCACAAGTTATACTAAGTAACAAAGATTTTAAAACAACATTTCATTATATTACATAGAATTGAATTTCAGAATATTGACTATGGTCTTTAAAGCATTTTCCTTAGCAAAGAAAAAAAGGTACTGTAATCCAGTGGGGACAATGTACCCAGAATTGTACCTTAACTTACTACAACTGTCTTACATGTTTTATATGTTCGTTGGCCTACTGATCTGGTTTTCAATTTATATATATGATAATTAACTTATGAAGGTCATATAAAATAAATGAATCTGATGCTGGAAAAATGAAAAGCAGTGGAGGGGAGAGGAAAAGTAGAATTGAAATGTGTTATCTACATGTACCAATTCTCTACAGTGAATGTAGTCACTGCATACTGCAAATATGTATTAATAAAAGTAAAAATAAAAGGGCACTGTAGAGTTGCAAAGAAAATTGTTTTGAAATACTGACTTATGTTTGTTAGGTATTTTATATCTTGTAGGTAATATAAAAGTGACTGTTAAAAATTAAGTAAGATTAAACAAGTATTTAAAATTAAATAAGTACATAACATCTATTTATAATTAAGACACTAAAAGTATTTGCTATATATAAATTTATATTCTTTGCTTAAAATTTTAAGCATCAATTTGTATCAACGTATTTTATAAATTGTTGATACATAACACTGATAAAAATCAAAAGATATGATCCTTTTAATATCAAAATAACTATTTTAGAGACAATAAATTCTAAACATAAAGACTTTCATTTAACTTAGGTTTAACTAGTTATTCAAAAATAGGCTTTAAAAAATAAGTTTCAAATCATCTCAGGGTTGTTTCTATTCATCATTTTAAGGTATCCTGAAGTTATAAGCACAACTTATTTTATATTCTAATAAGTTAGTTAAAAACTGTTTCTTGTTATAAAGAATTAATAGTTATGACTTACCTGTCTGCTCATTGGTTTGTTTATGCTACCTAGTGTTAATAGCTGTAAGAGATGCTTAAAAATACTTGTGTCTCTGTAATACTTTTCCCTGGAAAAGGAACATGTTTTAATTTGTTCCAAAAGATATAACAGGGCTCATTTTCAGAAAATGCCTTATTTTTTCAGGAACAGCAATCTACGTTTATTCATGTACAAAAATCTACACTTATTCAAGTAGTCACATCATCTTCTGAACCGTCATACTCTCCAAACCCCAAACGTTGGCCTGAATTTCTAGTGACTTAATTTCCTTTGAGCCACTGGTCCCAATCTCTTAAGCCCAGTGGTAGTCTGGGGACTGGGGTCCTTCTGTGAGACACCTTCTGCTTCCCTGGGTCATCTCTCCATCCCGGCAGGAATGCAGGAGGTGGAGCGAGGCTGACTGGGAACTGAAAGTCTCTCACCTCTTTGGTATGGCGTAAGAAACTCGGATGACGAATTGAAGTAAAGCCAAGTTTCACTGATACCATTTCAGGGAGTGGGGGACACACAGCAAGCCAGTTGGATTGCAAGGAGAGCCCGAGGTGGGGTGCTCAGCACAGGGTCTTTGTCTTGCCCATACTGATGGGGTGAGCCAATTTTCTGACGGTAACTATTTCCCTGGTTGTAAAATCGGAGTCTTAGCATTAGTCTTAGTCCAGAAACATATGGAGTGAGCCACAGTCCACAGGAGCTATGGGCGCACGGCAAACATGTGAAGTGCCCACGCAAGACAGCACCTTCCAGCCGCCTTGCTGTGAACGAGCACGCACTTCTGCCATGCTTGCTGCCAGCTCATGCCCTGTGTCACCTATTCCTCCCTAACTGTCCCTATACTCACGTCAGCCATAGTAGCCTCCTGAAATGAGCACTTCTTTTTCATTTAGGTTGCTCACAGTGCACTGGCAACACAGCTGTCAGTGATTTCATCCCATGAGTTCTTTACCCAAGTCAAGACTGCTTGCAGGTTGGTTTCACAAAGCTTCTAGCACATCAAGTGTTAACTGAAGATGTATGAGACAGGAGTGGTGACAAAAATGGTGACAATTAAAAACCCACACAAAAGCAATGCAAATTTGCAGGCACCCAAATTCAGAAAATGTTTATTTTTCATGAACGCATTAAGTACATCAGTTTCAACACACGAGGAAGTGAACTGTGATCGTCTCAGACACAAGCACACTGCTTGTTCTCACATGTGACAATGTATGCACATTGTGTCTGGACTCCAGCTGGTCAGTGGACAGTAAGTCTGGAGTTCCTCTCTTTCTACTGGTGTCTTGGTCAAAGGCATTTGTTCCACTATTTACAAATAATTATATTTTTTTAGCATTTATTTCAAATACTAACATCAATGATATTTATTTTTTTATAATTTAATACATTCCTTGTGTGTTGCAACAGATGTATTAAACACACAGTAATAAACACATAGTACATCTTTTGCAACACACAAGGCTGATGAGGTTGACAGGAGTTGAGTTTTGGGGTAGGACTTATGAGCATCCTGAAAAATCACACTAGGGCTTACTTTCAGGTTGGGCCTCATTTTTGGGAAAATATGGTGAATCACTGCTATTATCTTACTATCTAGTATTTGCTTAAGTACTTGAAATGAGTTTTCTTTATTTTTAAATCACTTTGCTTTTACTAAATGTCTTATAAGGTTCAATAACAAAGATTTTGCAAGAGTGAAAAAAAGTGGGCCTTTCCCACCTCAAAATATGACACTCTTTGAGACACAAATATGAGTTAATAACGGAAGTTTTAAAATGATTGATGACCTATGCATGTGGTGGCATAATTTTATAAAAATATTAAAGTTAATGTTTTGTTATAAATTAACAATATAGCTTTTAAATAAAACATTACAATATTTTCCAAAACCATATATAAACATAAATATATATATACACATATATATATATATATATATTTTTTAGGGAATCTCACTCTGTATTGGACGGCTTCAAACTTAGAGCAATCCTCTTGTCTCAACCTCACTAGTCCTAAGTAAAGAAAGAGCTGGAGACAAGGGCTCATTAGTATTCACCTTCTGATGACTACAGCTCTTTCAGAGCAGTTATCTCCTCTTTTTCCACTCTTTTTCAAAAAGCCATCTTCCTTTGTTTTAAACTCTGTCTCTTTAATTTCTTACTTGAGTTTTTGACCCCAGTAGCTGTGCGTTCCAGGGAAGCCACGGTGTGGACCCCCACCCCAAAACACCATGAAGCGGCATAGTGCAAGGGGGCCTCTCCAGAGGACAAAATGATGGGGCCATCGATGGGAGGGCTGCTAAATCTTCTTCATAAAGTACCCAACATCAGGTAGTTCTTTTAACAGCAGAAAGTAGATTAACACAGCTCTGTCTTATGAATACAGGTGCTATCTCAGGGAAATCAGACAGGTTGGCCTAGACCACACAGCAACGTAGGGGCGGCTGTAAGACAGATTTCGTGTGTTTAAACTTCCAGTGCAGCTCTATGCTGCTTCTTGACAAAGCAGAAACTCTTTTAGTGCCCTGGAATTGGCTGGGGCCCTGCACAGAAAAGGTAACTGACTTTCCAAGTAAAGAAATCCTTCCCTGTGAACTCAGTTTTACCCCTGTACTAATGCTTGAGAGGAAAGAACACACAACTCCACCATGGAGAAAGGACTGCCTGTGTCTCTGCTACAGCACTATGACTTCAGCTGTTTTAAAAATCATACTTCTCATACTTGGCCCATCCCACTATGAGTGAGTGTGTGTCTTCTGAGGTGCATCAGTCTTAATAGACTTTATCTATCACTGATCAACAAAGCACTGATTAGCAAAGCACCTACTGTGCTTTCTTAGGTAACAACACTATAGTATTTAACTTTACTTTTTAGAGGTTTTAGCAGGCCACATTTAAGTCCACATTTTTAGTCCTGGGTCACTCTGACTACTATTTTGCATTGGGTTTCCTTCTGGATGTCACTCATGCACACGGCCTGGGCCAGGCTCCCCTAGGTGAGTAACTCAGAGCCCTGCCAGGAGGGAGTGAGGTCCCTCCCACTGGGGCACATAGCGCATACCATTCAAATAGGCGTTCTGGATGTCAATGGCCTTGGTGGACTGGTCATCAGCCGAGCAGTGCAGATGATGAGATGGAGCCACGAACACTTCCAGCATCCCCTTGGTGAGCCTGGGCTCAAACATCATGCTGCGGCTTCTCACGCTCACATTCTCACAGCCCGGATACAGGTTGTTGATGCTCACAGAGACTGCAGGTCAGAAGGGAAGAACATGAGACTTCACACAGCCCGGTCTGGGGGCCTGCACGCCCTCCCAGGCTGGCCATGCCACTGCTTTTTCCAGAAACCCCACTGTCCCCTCCCACTTAGCTTCAGGTGGGTCTGGGTACATGCTCCACCTGTGTCATGTGGTGCTGTGCCCAGGGAGGCTATGTCAGTGTGTTCTAGTCACTGTACCTCCCCCGAACTCTTTCTGTCCTGCTCTACACCTTGAGAGGCTGAGTCTATGGGCTGCATCCCTCTGGCTTGCTTAATATTCAGTTTTCAGGTTAGGGCACCAACTGGGCGGCAGAGAGGACAAGAAGCAAAAATGTTGTGGTACTTCCTTTCCTCTCATTCCCTGCTCTTCTCTGGTACTACCTGTGTCTCCCCGTGACACTGCCTCCTCCTGGTCAGTTGCTGCAGCAGCTCTAACATTCCCAGGACACTTAAGTTTGTGCCTCTCAGCTTTCCATTATAGGAGTGGTAAGGGTTCTGCCCCCTTGCTCCTGCCTGGGTGCTTCACCGTCTCTCCCACGTTCATGTGAGTTTTGCTCACAACTGCCTTTGGGTGTGCTCGCCCTTGGATCCTGGCTGGCACAGAAGTTATTTCAGGTTGACTGCAAAGTGCTTCCCCAACTGGAGCTAGCCGTTAACATTAAATAACCACATGAGGACATGTGAAGGTTCCTCAAAGGTCTCTCAGTTGCTCTGGCAGCACCCTTAAGTTTGTGGCATTAAGACTTTAATAGTCCTTCAGCAAGTGTTATCTTCCTCCTTAACATCATGAAAACATAGCTAGATTTTAACTACCCTGCTCAGGGTTCATTTCATTCACTTTTACCTATAGCAATGGTACTGAGTTGTCATTTACAGCAAGGCACCAATACATGTATTCTAATTAAGTTAGAAATGAGTATGTGTGGGTCAACATGCACTGGGGAGTTAACTGGGTAACAAGGCCTGGGTATCCTGCATTGAAAACAGACTGTGCTCTCTCCCTACTCCTGCTGCCTGACAGCTTGCAATCACATAGTTAAGACAGAAGCCACCTTTCTGATTCAGGGCTGTGACCTGGGGCCTGGTCTGCAGTCGGTGCTCCCTAAATATCTGGTAAACAAATACACTAGAGGAGGTACACAGTGAGTGTACCTGTACCACCCGGTACTATTGCTTCGTTATCTGTTATCAACGGACACTGCAAGTTATCAGAGAAGTGACCACTTCACCTGGGCAATCTGACTTTTACAATTAATGATCTAATCACAAAGATAACCCCACACTGAAGAGACTAAAGAGTTAAGACTTACGACATGGATAACAGGAATAATGAAAGAAAGAAATGAGGATCAAAAAAGTAGACGGCAGGGTCAGGGTTAGGTACAAGGAATGAAGGCAGGGCAGCAAGGGGAAAGAGTTTTATAAGCATTTTGTTCTTTTTATAAAAGTATAAAAATTGGAAAGAAGGATGTAAGACAAAAGCAAAATGACAAGGCCTTTAAGGCCACCACAGTCACATCCAAGTGTATTTTCCCGCAGATCACACATCTGTAAGACCTTTGGTGACCCCCAGGAATGGGTGTGTCAACCCTGTGCCCTGAAACTTATCTAGAACAACCATCTGACAGAGGTGTGGTCAGTGCCCCGTGGGCCTGGGTTCACTGACCCAGAAAGACAGTATTTGGTAGGCAGCTGTCACTCCTTCCCAGGGGAATAAAAGCTTTAACAGGGCTGTCTATGGTACGATTCCAGCAGTAACTGGGGAACACAGAAATCACAGAGGGAAACTTTTCTGCTAAAGACTGCCTCCTGGTGGTAGGAAGTGGCTGACCCCAAAAAGAACATACTTTGGCATCAGGGTCAGAAGCGACTTTCTGAGCCTGCTGCTTTTTGGTGAAGGCAGGAGCTATCTCTCCTGTCTCTCAAGTGCTCCTCCCTTGAGGCTGGCTTTTTTCCTTCATTCTACAGAGCTACAACTCAACAGCCACAAGCTTCAGCAGGCCAGAAGCTGAGTGATGTATGTGGCAGCAGAAGGACAACTGTTTTAGTTACTTCTCTTTTGTGGCTGAGGCAAAATACCTGACACCCAAAGTTAAAGGGGGAAAGGATTTTTATTTTAGCTCAGAGTTTGCAGAGGTTTTAGTCCATAACTAGAGGGCTCCAAGACAGGGTGGGTTGGTAGGGTGGCATCAGAGTGGAGAAACAGCTCATGACAGGCAAAAGACAGCAAGAACAAGTAACCAAAAGGCTTTAGTAGCTTCTTCCTGCTCCTTTTGTACTCTTTTTAGGATACCAGAATTAAGGCAGTGCCAAAGCAATCAGTGAATTGATTCAGTAATCACACACCCCTAATCCTAGTACCAAACACCCTAGAGCCAGCCACCTTTGAAAAATCCCCACCCAGGACCCACGAGGCTTTGGAGGGACATTTAAACATAAGCCACCATGACAGGCATGAGGTTCACTGGTCACCTCAAATCAGCCTCATGTGTCAGGCCAGTGTGTAAATGCAGAAGCTGCCGATGTCAATTCCCACGTCAGAGGCTCTGAGCATGAGTCAAAGGACTAACACAACTCCATTCCTCTGCCTCCCTCAGGTTCTACTCTGCCCATCCAGGGGAGCCCTACAAGTGAGAGCCAGAGTGGACTCTGGGCTATTACTTGTGGCAAGCAGGCCTCATTCCCAAGACCTGCACCCCAGCCCACCTCCTGACCACAAGAAGAGCTTTTGCTACCAGAATTTATGTGAGAGAACCACAGAAGACCAAAATTATAAAAGCAAATGAACTTCCTACTGTCTGCATAATGGGGGAAAGGCACATTCCCACATGGGCACCACTCCTATGGGAGGAACAAGGCCGGTCAAGTCCAGGAGAAGCCAGTAGGATCCTGAGCACTGGCATGTACAGAGCAGAGCACAGTTACTCTGGCTCTGCAGGGCCACTGTAAAGTGAAGACACTGCTGTTCTGAAACCAGAGGACTTTACTGCAGGAAGCTGCTCAGGGTGGCCTTGCCCCGGTGTCTAGAAAGCAACCACAATTCTGTCCATACAGTCCACTGCCAGGACCTAAACGCCTTGGCTTCATCTCTAGGGCTCTCATCTTTGTGGTAGATGGCTATTTTGAGAATGTAGTATTCCACTAATAAAACACACTGTGAGGACCAGGCAGTGACTAGTGACCTGGTCACCCCATAGCTGGGGGGACCTGTTCGGGGTTCAGGCCCGACCCCACTCCAATGGCTGTACCTTGTGCAGCAGCTGCCTGGACATGCAGTGACAGGGGCCCCCACTAGGGAAGAAGATGGTTCAGGTCTGAAACTGCTGTCTCCTCACCAGCCATAGGCAGGTGCTGGATTTAACAGCGGTGTTTCCCATTACTTTCAAGACTGTAGAAAAATACTCTGCATGCCACTCTGGAGTGGGCAGGCCAACAGGCATTAAGCAGTGTGCACCACTATGGGTCATTTGCCTCTTCTGTTCTTCCCTGAGGCCTCCTGAAAGCCACTTGGCTTTGGGCAAACACACCCTAATACTGATCAAGTGTGATCCCAAGACCCAAAGCATTCCTGTTCCAGTAGACTGTCCCAAAATGTTACAGCAACAGGGCAGCCTTTCACACAGGGTAAGGGATCTGTCTCTGTTCTCTCCTGCCCCAGTGGGTAGGGAGTGGAATGGGGATCATGGGAGACATGGACGTGGGAGATGTGTCCGTAACCAGTACTATGGAGGAAGGCAAACCCAGTGTAGCTGAGGCCTCTAATTTTCTAAGGATTTTAGGTGATCTCTTGTTTTAAATGTTGGAAACAAATTCAATTTTCTTTTTGCCTGGATGTCTCTGGGTCTTGGGCTACTTTCCTTGGAATGGGATTGTGATCCACTTTCTCAGTCACGAAAACTAGACAAGCTGATCTTTGTGCAGCACCCAAAACTCCAGTCAGCACAGCTGTGCTCATCCTGTGAGGCCTTTCTTGGGGGTCTTCTGGCTTAAGTATCCACACATATTCTTATTAAGTATCCCTTTGATCTCTGCCTTAGGAGCAGCCAGTACGCAGCTAGCCACACTGCCTTCTCTTATTCCTTTCTGGCAGGGATCACTTTCTTAAGACTTGTAAGTCCCCAGTGGACTTTCTTAGACATGGGCCTCTTGAGTCAAGGATGAGTTTCAACTTCTAGGAAGGGAAAAACTCATGGGAGGATTTTTTCTCTCAGGCCCTCCTGGGAGCAAAGCCAACGTCCTCTGAGCTGATAGACCTCCAGAAGACTATCGAATAGAGCTGCATGGAACTTAGAGAAATGTCTACTATCTGGACCATCTTCCTGGAGAAGTGGGCTGCTGCTGCCCACCAAGTGCAAAACAGAAAGACTCAGCCAGAGAAGGTAGAACCTCGCCTGCTCACCCAAGGAAACCGAGAGAACAGGAGAAGCAGCCTCCTCGCCAGGCTGCAGGCTCTCCTGAGAGCCCCTGAGTGGCATCTTCTCTAGGAGCAGGCTCTTCTCCAGGAATTGTCTGTCCCAGTGCTCTGCACCCCAAGTCTCTCCATCCTCAGCTGGAGGATGGCTTCAGACAGTGAGGCCCACTGACAAAATCACCATCTTGACCTGTATCTTATCAAGGGCCTTATCAAGTGTGATCCCAAGACCCAAAGCATTCCTGTTCCAGTAGACTGTCCCAAAATGTTACAGCAACAGGGCAGCCTTTCACACAGGGTAAGGGATCTGTCTCTGTTCTCTCCTGCCCCAGTGGGTACTTTAGAGCCAGACTTGGAAAATGACAGAGGAGAGGACAATGGAGGCATCATTTCTGCAGGTTGAAGGCTGAATAACAGTTAAAAGTTTCTTTTTCCCAGGAAACTCATGTCACTGCCTATGGCCTGTGGAGAAAAAACTCTTCACAGTAATCAAGAGCCAAACCACTGCTTCTAAACCTCTTTTGATCTACTGATCTGGTGCTTATCTCTCTCCTCTCTTTTTTTCTCTCTGTCATGTCAGGCTCACCTCTTACTCCTTTTCCCTACCAGAACAGGCAACCCTCTCCAGATTTGGCATCAGTGACTGCCAGAGAAGCACACACTGCTTACTGCTGACCTGGAGCCAGAGACTCCCACTCCTCAGATCCCCAAGCAAATATGTTTTATGGTGCCACCACCTTCAAAGAGAGCCATCAGAACGGAGAAAACGGGACATGTACACGCGTGTAAATGTCCTTATGCAGTGTCACTGACAAGTACTGGCTCAGGCACTGGAGGCTCCGTGACCCGGCAGCTTGGGACTCAGGGCAGCTGCTGTCATCTCAAGGCTCCAAAGGCCTCATGACATTGTGGGGAAAGCACTCCAGAAGGCTGTCGTGTGCACTGAATGAGGTGTCAGCATACCACATTTTGTCCAGTTTCCTGGCACATGGTTGGTGCTCAAAAACATGAGCAGTGTATCAGCAATATTACCAGCATGCTAAACATAAAGCCACACTGGCGGCATTTCTTGAGTTTCAATTGTATCGTTGTACGCAGAGAAAGAAGCTGAGAAGTTTGAGTAGATCTCAACCCACTGCTCCTGGCTGCTCACACTCCCTAGACATCTAGTCTCACTGAGAGAAGAAGGGCACAGACACAAGAACTGCAAGGTATTCTTTTAGTTTAGGGAACAACTAGGACACTTCTGTAAATGTCACATGTAGAAAATGTACCTGGGGCACATGGTGAAACCACTGACATTGTTTAAGAATTCTTGGAACATCTCTATTCTAATTCTCACAAAAATTAATTTCCTCTAAAGGGGAACTCTTGAGAAAGGACAGCAGTCTCTTCTGCATACTGCAAGTGTCTCTCTTCAGGGAAGGAAAGGCAACTCTGCAGGGCTGGATATGAACCTGAAATCCCCTGCAGTGAACAGCTACTTGTTTCTACAGATGGGAAGAAGAGAGGGCTGGTGTGGCATGGCCTAATGCACCGACTGCTACAACCACAAAGGAGCCTTTGGAAACACTGTAACTCTGGATGGGGCAGGAGCAGCGCTTCTTCGGGAAGTGGCTTCTGTTGCTCTGGTGTGCCTGAAGCACTCATATGTCTGGTGTGCCTGAAGCACTCCAGAAAGAAAGCAGAAGAGTGAGCTGCCTCTTGGGGGCTACAACTACACCTGTGCTATGTATGGGCAGGAACTGCTGCAAAGGTAAAGGCACAAGGAGAACAAGATGCTGCCCTACAGTGTGCACAGCTGTGACTCTGGACCTGTGCATCTGTGTGATTTTGTTTTGTGTGGGATCTTTTCTGCTACAGTTGGGACTGTTTGCCCTCACTGGGCAGGGGTCAGGTGGACACAAGGCCAACAGCCAACTCAGACTGAATCTGGAGCCACCAAGGCTATGGATTCCGCTCGTCCATAGGCCAAGGGACCAAAACCTGCTCATCCTGGGCTTCGGTCTGCTGGATACGCCACAGCCACTCAGGGGCTCCTACCGGTGGGTTTTGTAGCCAGAGGTGATGGCGGGAAGCGAGTGGAGCTGGTGGAGGAGAGGCGGGGTCGGCGCCTGCGGAAGAAGCTTCTCAGCAGCCCGCACTTGAGAGATTCTACCAGGGTGCTTTTCCCAGAGCCTGAGTGGCCGAAGAGCTTGAGCTTGATTCTCGGCTGCAGGTTCTGTGTGGGACGGAGCTGCTGGATGAAGAGCCCTCGATGCGTGTCCTGGACATGGAGGAAAAGAGCTCAAGGTCATAGAGAGGCAGAGCCCCAGCCACATACTGTTCATAATTCTCAGGGATCCCATTCTTGGGTTTTGCTCATGTTACAGATGTATTTTTTCCCTTATCTCCACTGAAATTTTTTTTAAAAATGGGCATACAATGCCCATTTTTAAGTACGCAGTTTACAGGTTCTTAGTACAGCTCAAACATTGCGTAACCAATGCTGTAATGTAGTTCCAGAGTACTTTCTTCACCCCAAAAGGAAACCCAACCCCTTGGCAGTCCACAACCTTGCCTGCCTGCTCAGCCCCTGCCAACCACTACTGTGTTCCGTCTCTGCTTTTTGCAGGGCATTTGGATGTAAAACAAATTGGGTGATTCGACTATGAAGCCATGGATTTTAACACGACTAGGACGAGCTGAGTGGTCTGTTCATCTCTGTGTGCAGGGCCCAATTCCTCAACAGCACTATCACAGAACAGGTGGGCAAGGAGGTGGGGCAGCATGAGGTACAAAGCTGCCTGCTGTACAGAAGCAGAAGGACACAACCATCTGTGTGCTTGCTTCTCAGTCCTACAGGGAGAAACAGAAGCCCCCTAACTCCTATCCATTCATGGGTCCGCTCCCTTGCTCACCCACAAATGCAAGGAACATATCCTCTTCATGCTAAGGATGGAAAACCCAGACCAGGACAGAGTGGCACCCTGGGGAGGCACACAACACAGATGGTTTGGCATCAAATGGAGCACAAGTGCTTTCAGTGAGGGCAGTGTTGTTGAGATGCTCAGCAAGTACCCAGATAGTCCCCCTCAAGCTCTAGGGGTTTGAGGCTTCCCTCATGCCATTTATATCCCTGGCCTTGCACAAGCTGCCTCCTCTTTATCCCATCCTGTCCCTGCTCCCAAACAGCAGCTTCCTATCTGAAGATGCTGCATGCAGCCTGAGGTATCCCCAAATCCAAAGGGACAACCCCTGCCTAACTTCCATGTGTCCCACAGAATTATTCTTGCCTGTCATCTGCCCTGCCAGCTTCCTCCCTAGGCTTCGCTGTGGCCTCAGACTGCAGAATTATGTTGAGCTCTGCCCTGGCAGACCAAAAGCCAACTGGAAAGGTGGAGCCAACATCCCCAGTCCTGACGCATACAGGTCATATTCACAGCCAGTTTCAGTCATAGGAGCCCCTCCAAAGGGCATCTCAGGGAAATCTTACATATGGCTGAACTACTTCCACAATTCTAAATTTCACAATTCTAAATGAGATCCTCATTTTCTGTTTATCTCTCACAGGTGGGCCACTGCCACATCTTCCATGAATAACTGTGTAGTTACAAACTCATAGTTCCCTCCCCTCCACTCCAAACTCCAATTTTCCTATCTCCATTTTTTATTTCTAAGTAGGGACCAGATAGTCTCAGCAGGGGTAATACTGCCACCTAGTGCGTACTGTGAAAAGCTGCAAGTGGCATTCGTAGTTGCCACAGTATCATGGGCATTCTTACTAGTGCTAGATGCTAGGTGACTTGATAAAGTAAGTATAAAATACCCCACACAGTGAGGACTGTTGCTGGTCCCAGTCAGCATCTGCTAAGCATTTGTATAAAAGAAAAACCTGTTTACAGTAGCCCAAATTTATGATTTAACTGCATTTCATGCACAACCTAGAGGGCTTGGGAATGGCATGGTTTCATATAACCTGAGTTTTCCAAGATTGTAACTATCTTATAAAGTGGCATTTGAACACATTTTGCTTTTGTCTTTATGCCTTGTTACTGCTTGTCCCCTACCTCTGAAATTCCCATCAGCATACCATGGTGGCATTCAAGCTGCCAATCGTTCAGGTAGTACCTGCAGGAACTGCTCCAAACAGCCCCTCAGCACCCTTGCAGCCCAAATCCCTCCATCTGCATACTGAGGCCATTATTTCTTCTTATAAATGGTTACCCTTCAAATTCTGCTCTCTACTTCAGGGAGGTAAAAGGACACGGCAGAAAGTCTGTTGTAAAATGCTGAGGAGGCAACACTTGGGAGCCACAGTTTTGCACGGTGATATGTGGAACTTTCTAGTTTCTTCTTCTAATCTCAAATCTTAACAAGTACACAAACAAATGCCACAGACCTCAGAGAAGCTAAGGTATCAGCAACTCCCCTGCTTCATTAAACAGAGTCAACACAAAAACTGAAAAGGCTCTTTTTGAAACAGGTACACCAGGGATGCATCCGGTGGGCTGCAAGGAATGGGCTGGGACTGTCTCCTGTGTCATCCCTGGAGGAGGGGAGAGGCAACCAGGAAGGGTGAGAGATGGATTTCCTATCTGCTACGATAACTTCCTCATACACAACATCTTTCAGTTCCTGTGCTCTCATTAATATCCCTTGTTTAAACTAAGAGTTTTAGGGCTACATCCTTACCACCCCTTCAGATGAGGAGGCTGAGGCTCAGAGTCCAAGGCACTTGTATAGAACCACAGAGCAAAAGTCGAAACTCATCACCAGTCCTCTAACCTTCCCAGTGGGAAAGGCAGGTGACGCAGGGCAGAAGGGAGCAAAGGTCTACAGGCCACAGGCAAAGCTTCAGCACTGCTGGCCACAGATCCATGCCCTAAGGGGGACGTAGGCTGGTCATCTGCAGTGCCTCTCCACAGAGGGCACTTCTATGACAGTGCCTATCTCAAGCGCACATGCCTGTTTCAGGCGAGGCATAAATAGCTACGAAAAGGTGTCTCCTTGTGTATATTTCCATAGACAAAAGCAAACACAGTATTTTAGCTCCTCATCTAAGTTTGTGTCACAGGCAAATTTTTTCACTTGCAGGTCTCAGTGTGAGTGATCTGCATCCTCTGTGAGCTACAGGGCTTCAATTCTTCCCCAGAGACAGTCCTCCCTTGAACTTTGACTCTTCATTTGGAGCAGACCAGTCTCATCTCAAAACCTTTATTTTATGCTAAAAAGTACTAGATTTATAGCTCAGCTTTTATGCTACCTCCACTCTGGGTGACCAAACAATGAAACCCATTTTACTTTATTAGTGGGAAGCAAGGCAGACAGAAAAGACTTTCAAAGTCCAAAGAACAACAGAAGGAATCCACGTACCCTCTCTTCGAAGCCCTCTCTACAAGCGCAGGCCATCTCCGAGGAGAGGACTACTGTGTAAGCCAGGAAACTGCTCTCTCATGAATTTGGCAAACTTTTGAAAGACAAGGAAAAGGAAATATCCTCAGTTCTTCCCATTCTAAAGGAATCTAACCTCACCCAGCAAGAAGACTTCTCATGCTTCTTACTAAGACCTGGATAATCTAAGCACAACCGAATTCCAAATAGCAGCTTCCCTCAGGGCTCATCAGCAGGAGTGCACTTCCACTCCTGACCGCTAGATGGCAATGCAAAGAGGCGCTGCAGGGCAGAAGGGCTCTGAGCTAGTAGTAGGTGGTAGGAAGATTCACTTACTTGAAGGGAAGCACAAAAGTCTACCTACAGTCAGCAAGTTAACAAAGCTTCAAGGCCATCTGGAGACGAGGGCTGGCCACTAAACTGGCCTGCTCACTCGCTGGGTTAGGTGCAAGCAGATTCAGCAATTCCCGCAGGGAAGCAGAGAGCAGGCCAGTCTTGCTACTTTGGCTCATGCCTTTAAGCGTTCTCCATGCCTTTAAGTGCTCTGGCCCCCTCTGCTCTGTGAGTGTGGTCTGGGTGTCTACTGGTCTGGGCAAGCCTTTCTCAGTGTAAGATAAGACCAGGGCAACAAGAGAAGGCAGCTCCTGCCTGGGTGCTCAAAGCTGGCTGTGTGGGGAATCTCACATTCTAGTCTGTGAGCTTCACTTGTCGTAAACATCCACAGAGGGATGTGAGCCTCCACTGCTTGCTTGTCCAAAGGCTTACCGAAGACCAGAGGTGACAGCCCAGTCAAGTTGAGGGCTCTCTGCTCTCTGCTCCTCCTCCTGACCCTGACCCTGATCCTGTGGTCTGAGCAGCCAGAGGAGAATCCTAAACCTAACGTGGTGTCACAACTGACTGCTTAACAGGCTGGACCTGTCCAATGTCCTCCCCAAGGTTTGTAAGCTCTGCCACCTTTCTGGTCACAGCAGGTGTCACGCATCACAGGCCCAGGCTCTGGCTCCAGCCAGTCAGCCTTCTTTCTTGGTTGCTTACTAAACAAGCTAAACTCTACTCCTTGGGCCCTTGACCTTGGCCATGCTCTGCCTTTGCCATCACTTTCTCTGGCTGCTCCTTCTTCCCTTCAGTGTCACAGCCAAGAGGCTCTCTGGTCACCCACGGACAGCACCCTCCAATCCCCATCTGTACCTCATTCCATCCCACTTTAACTGTCTGCCAAACATATATGTCAGGGGCAAAAAGCCTTTCTGCACGGGGGCAGATGGTCACTGTTGCACCTACTCAGCCTGCATGCAAACCAGCCACAGATTAAGAGCAGATGAGTAGGTGTAGCTGTGTTCTATAAACATTTATTTATAAAAATAAATGTGGGAGGGTGGGCTTTGGCTTCTAGGCCATTGTTTGACAACTCTGGGTAGCTTTCTTATTTACTCTTTGGCTCAGCTGTGTCCCTTCTCTTGGCTCTGGTCTCTCTGTGCCTGTAAGTTCCTGGCACACAGCAGACACTGTTATACCTTCTAATGGTGCACATTGACTATGTTGTAGCTGCACTACTCTAATAAAAACATTGATGAATCTGTAGGTATCTAGTGTCCTTTCTGCCAATGCCATTATCCACTGGCAGTAGAGAAAATCAGTTTTTGTTTCATCAGAAGACGTGACCACATCTCTACAGATTGACAGGGAGGACCATCTATAGTCTACGGAATCCAGGTAAGAGCTCAGAGAGGTGACATGGCATCCCGTGCAGGTCAGGATGTAATGAAGCTCATGTGGCAGGGAATGGCAACCCTTAGTTTTACAAATGCAGTTTATTGTGCTCTATTTTTTAATTCTGGGCAATCCTAATGTTTTCATACTTTCCATAGTATTCTGGACACTTCTCCCCTATATAGACTTAGGTAAAGCAAATTACCAGATTATGGTAAAATCTGATTAGAATGACAAAAAAATTAAACCAATTCTAGTACAAATGAATGCTAAAGGAAACTCCAAATGGAACACGTCACCCTATCATAACAAGAATCCTTTTCTTTCTACAATAGAAGAAGTGGAGCTAGCCAAACAACAGTGCAGTTCTGGACAGATCTGGAGGGTGGACAGGGCTTTGTTTATTGGTAGGAGTTGCACAAGATGAAGTAGAAGATGTGACCTCCTAGTAATAAAGTGGCAATAACCAGCCCAAGTGTAGCTGTGGGGTCTTTGAGAGACCCACAAAGCAATGATGTGCTGGTAAACTAGTTCAATGGGAAATGGGCAACAAGATTCGCAGGACTTGCTGATTCCTGTAGTGTAAATGTTCCCACCCAGCTGACTTCAAGATCTCAATATGATGTCACCAAATTGTGAAGTGATATAGATGGACCTCCCTCAGGGACAGGACCAGGAAAGTTCCAGCACACTGCCTCTAACTCTAGCTCTATGTTGAACAAGACCAGAGTACACGCTGCACACCGTTGCTCTGACCAGTGTCCTTCCTTCTCTCACAGCCTTGACTCTGGGATTCCCATCTCACTCTCAGTCCAGAGGTTGGACAAACAAGGACTCCTTGACAGCACTGGCTGCAAGGTCCCTCACCCCACAGGTCAGCCCCCACACTAACACCAGAACAGCCACCCCATGCCCCTCTATCAGTGCAGGTACACAGATGGCTTTGGTTCCATTTCCAAAAGCTGAATCCTCAGCCAGTGCTCAAAAGTATACTCGTAAGGAATGTTAACCGAAGAGAAGTAAAAAACACAGAAGTGCTGCTTTTGCAAAGTGGTGTGTGTGGCAACCAAATGGAATGGTGAGGCCACTGGCCCGGCTCCCTGTGCGCTAATCTCTCCCCAGAAGTGAGCTGTGATCAGCCCGCAGTGGCTCTCATAGAATGGGGCCCTGCTGAAGGGGTGTCAGAAAATGTGCAGAAGCACTTTTTAGTTTTCACAATGAAGTAGTGGGAGGGATGCTATGACATAAGATACTTGGAAGCCAGGAACCCACCAACCTCAAACATTTCCCTGGTGAGGGACACTGAAAACAGAAGAATACGTGACACTGATGAGGAAATGATGAAAGTTCCTCAGTGTGACTCGCCCTCCTCCCTCTCTGAAGCCCCCCTGCACGCCAGCTGTGAATAATTTCTTCTTTCAAGACCTCAACTGTAATCATGAACAACCTCACTGCCTGGCTTGCTCTGCAGGAGTTGTGCAACTTTCCAGGATTCTTACCTGTGGCCCCAAGGGGCAGTTGTGACAGCACAAGCATTTCCAGCAGTCAAACTGCACTACTGGGTACACACCTGCCAAGCAGGTATTTATATGTTGGGACTTATTAAAACAAAATAGCAGAAGAAAGAAGACAGAATGTGATTAGCAGTGTTCAGCAGAGCTCTCTTCCTTTTTGGGCTATAGGGAAGCTCGTATCCACAGCCATTTGAAGGACGTTTTTGGCTTCTTCTGTCATTCCAGGGATTAAACCCAAGGCCTTCACATTGAGCTACATCTCCAGTCATTGTTTTTATTTTGACTCAGTATGTTGCTAAGTTGCCAAGGCTGAACTTGAACTCCTTGCCTCAGCCTCCAGAAAGTGGGGGTGGCAGGTGTGCACCCAAGAGTGCTGTGCATGGCACCAACCACGGCGGCAGACAGGATGCTCACTGTGTGCACACACCGGTCTCATTTACATTCACCCATCTGACCCTCTTCACTGTCCTCTCTCCAGTGCACACAGGGGACACTCAGGCACACAGCAGTGAGCAGGTGGCTGCCTACTGACTCATCAGGCAAGAATCTCACAGGACTAGGACTGAAAGAGACAATGCCTGAGCCTGTACTCTAAGCTGTCACACTGCACTCTTCTCTCAGAGAGAAGAAGAAGGAAACTTCTCTTTGGATCTGAGTGTAAAAGAAGCAATGTCTTGAATTACAAATATTAAAACAACTCTTCGTAAGCCAAGTGCAGTGAAGCCTGTCTGTTGTCCCAGCACTCAGGAAGCTGAGGCAAGAAGATCACTGGAAATTCAAGGCCAATCGGGGCTACATAGTGAGTTCGAGGCCAGCCTGAGCTGCATAGCGAGACCCTGTCCCAAAAAAACAAACAAGCAAGCAAACAAACAAATAAACAAAAATACCCAAAATAAACAAAACTCTTTAGAGAAAAATCACAGAATAATGATAAAATTAAATATAATATTATTCCCCTTTCAGTGAAAGAAACTGGAACAGTGCAACAACCTCCCCTCAGCACTAAATCCAAAATTTCAGGCTGCAAAGCAGTCACCCTTCCCTGGGGGAGCATCTTATATGTGCCTCTGTCTTTATATTCTAGCTATAACAGTGCAGAATCTTGGACAGCAGATTAATGAAGAAAGACCTTGTGCCTCACATCCAACCCTAGCACCTTTACTCTGTTCTCACTTTATGCCTTTATTCTGAATGTTTTATTATTTTTCCCAGGCTTGTCATTGTAAAGTACATCTGAGTTTGCAACCAGCCTAGCAATCTATTTTTAAACAAAAGAACAGACGATTCCAGGGGGCAGGTGGGCAGCAAGACACAGCAGAATCCAAGAAAACACCTGCCCCACTGCCAGAGGAAGGCAGTTTCCAGTGGTGTCCCCTTCACTACTAACGGTCTGGTGTTTGCAGCTGAGTTTTGCTTATAGAGGAGCTGACCACACAGATGCTCAGGCCCTCCTGTATACTGTGAGCCCTGGAGACGCTATCAGCGCCCTGGGCCTGGAAGGCTGTGCCACTACATTTCCCACAGTGATCAGTTTGAAGGGTGGCCACGGTGGGGGCTGAACAAGGGCTGGCAGACACGAAACAAGGGTGGCACAGCTGGCAGTGGCTGCCAGGAGAGCAAGGGCTGCAAGTCTTCCTCTGGAATTCTGGGAGGCTGAAGACACCCAGCAAAACATAGCTGCGCACAGTGCTTGCCTGCATGGGAAGCCTTTCCCCAGGCTTCAATAAAGGGTCCCTTTCCATGACTGAACCCTACCAGAGTCCAGACTGCAGAGTCCAGGAGCCTGTGGGAAGGCCAGATGTCATGTGTCTTTTCACTGCTGACAGGAACTGCAAGGGTCACCAAGTTAGGACAGCCTTTATCTGTACACTCAGACCAAGGCCACCAACTCTATGCTGCAGCCAAAGCTGGAGGTTGCACACTGGGGCCTGAGCTGTGTTCTGTTTGCTGGATTAACACTGTTTCAATAAAACTAATTTAAAAATTATAGACTTTGTCTTAAAAGTTATATTCTGTGGGATGTTTTTCTGGATCTTGATCCCTCTGTCTCCCTCCCTTCCTCTTTGGAATTTCAACAAAAGGGGGAGTTAAATCTCTCTAGGGGACTGGGAGAGCTCTGTGTTCATCTTTCTCCCACCTGGTGCCTTCACGGCTCCTCACAGCGCCCAAAGCACCAGGGTGAACAATAATGACCCACAGATTGACCTCACCACCAGGTCAGAAGGATCTGAGGTGCTTGTATGCACTTGAAACAGTTGGGTCTTTCCAAGTTCAGTTCTGTACTAGGAAAGAAATTATCCCAATCATTATTCTCTTTCTAAGACCATGAAACAGGAACAATCAAACCTCTAGTAGACATCAAAGGTCAACACATCATCCTCTGTCCTGCACACACTTTTCTAGCTATACACCAGGCTATTTGGGAGATATCTTCAACATATTTTAGACAATATCTTTTCAAAAAACTAACTGAATCATCTTTTTATTTCTAGAAAGTTGTTTTAAGTTATTACATGAATGTTAGGAGAAATTTATAGAGATACAGCAATGTTCAAATAAAGATTAATAACTCACAAAAGCAAAAATCAGAGAAATCATATTATTTTCTTATACACATGTTCAGCATAGCAGAGATTATAAAGTGCATGCAGTTCTTTTGCTTTGAAGCCCAGGGACACTGCATTAAACTCTTGAGACTAAAATCTCTTCAAAAATATTTGTAAAGACCAAGAAACATTGTCTTCTACTATAACTGTGTGACAGTACTGTTTCTAAAGTTTCCAGTTTTGGTTACTGCATTTTAAATAATATCAAATGAGTATCTTTGTGCATGAAACAGTTTCCTGTGTAAAGGGAATGACGACACTGAAGTCTCTCAATATATACTATCATGTGATGTGATGCAAGAGGTACACATGCACCACTTGTCCTTATCATGTCTCTGTAAACCTCAGAGAAGACACATCTGCTAAACAGAGCTGAAATAAATCTAGAAGCTCAAAACACAAAGAAGAAAAGAAAGAGGCAAAGTCAGCATTCCCACCCCTACCCCCCACTTTTGGGGGCTGCTCAGGATGGAGAGGGTGGGAAGAGGAAGACCAGGCACAGCACAATAAAAAGACCAAATTATTTTTCAAGTCCAACTAAGGAAAAGATCTGATAGGGAACCTATGTGTGTATGCCAGTTAATATGCAAACTACAGGACACAGCTAGATGCTCTTCCTATACCTGCGCTTAAAGCGTTCTTTGATTTATCCCCATGATTTACAAGGGAAAACATTGGGACTTATGAATACAAAAACAAATAAAAAATTTCAGATGGGTAATAAGGATCTCTCACCTTTCGGAGCCTTGCGAGGAGACCTGCCACATGCTCGTGCTGTTCTGACTTAGCAAGATCCTCTGCTGTCTTTCCATCCTGTTGGAGAAAAATCATTAAGAGTTTTCCTCTGCGAAAGACTGCCAGGTATGCTCATACGCCAAACTGTTGGTCTGAGCATCAGCCACAAGTCGGGCAAAGAGCATGCTCTGGAGTGTTTCCCTAGCTAAAAGACCTTGGAAGGAAGCAACACAGGAACAAAACAGCCAGTGGTACAGTGGGGAGACACCATGGCCTGTGAGCTTCTGCCCAAACTCATCTGCTGGCTCAGTACCCTTGTCCTTGGCCCCTTCCTCCAGTTGTCCAGACAATCAAGAGTCATTAGATGTTAGTATCTCCTCCATGCAAGCTCACATCTTACAACTCTTACACAGTCAAACAGCCTCCCACAGAGCTAGCTCCAGTAATCGCTGATTCCAAAGGAAAAGTCTCAGTGTAATGGATTCTGATTGAAAATTTCTGGTGAACATATAACAAAGACCTTTAGATCTGCCACACTTTTTGGTGTTTGCTTTTTCACCAGAGAATTTTCATAGGGCTTCAGTTTTGTGCTGACTCTACTCTTACAATATGCATATGCACAAGGGCTTATATTTCCTAAGATCCTAATGATCCTGGTCAGTGCTATTCTCAGTGCTCTGTGGGCAGGGGACCTCAAAATCATGGGGGTGCTGCACCCACAACAAGGAGAAAATGAGCTCTCACGTGTCATTCTGTTGTGAGTTTAGAACAGTACTAAACACTTGAAAATTGAAAAGATAAGCAATTTCCAAATAAATACAAGCAGGCCTTGTTTCTTCTTATATACCAAACTAAGACAAATGTAGTTTCTCTATGAATGTTTGACAATAACAAAGTTGTATCTAGAAATCTTCAAACCTTCTGATTCCTCAATTCAAATTAGTTCCTGGGACATGCACAGGCTCCCATCAGCCAGCATTTCTCAATCTGGATTGTACTGACATTAAGGACCAGTAATTCTCCATTGTGGGGGGTGTCCTGCACCATGAATAGTGTTTAGTAATATCTCTGGTAGCACTTGGTAGGTGCTTCTACCAAGTGTCAGCAGCATCCTCCAATCCCTATGTGTGATGCCCAAAACTGTCTCCAGACACTTTCAAGTAGCCCCTGGGGGCAAAGCTACCAGGCCCAGAATTCCTGCCTGGAGCTGAGCTCAAGAGGATTTGCTAGAGCATCCCAGACAACACTGCTTAGCTCTGTCTGCTCCCTTGTAAACCTGAAGTATTTCTCAGGGTTTATCAGACACCACACCCTAACCAGAGATTCACACCCTATCACCTAGCTCCTCTGCAAACAGGAGAGCTTCACAGAGCCAATGCCAAGAAGAGAATAGGGCTAGAGGAAGTGGACAGTGAGAGGGCAGATGGCCTGGAGGAACAGGGTAAGGTGAAATTGCAGAAGGGCAAGCAGGAGAAGAAGGCACAAGGAGGACTTTTTTCCCCATGACAAGAGAGGGTCAAAGAACGTTCAGTACACCAAGACCTGGGAGCTGTTGTAAAATAGCAAAGGCAGGCCCCCTGCACCAACACTGAGGGCTGCTCCTTCCATTAACTCCAACAAGCACCCATGGCTGGGGCTGAAGAGCAGTGTTCACGGAAGGGAGACGCACATCTCATGCAAACTGCAGAGCACTGTTGTGTAACACAGAAAGCTGAAAGGTCAGGGAGAACCAATGAGGACTGCAGGCAGAGCAGGGCCTGGTACATGAGAAGAGGATGAAACATTAACTAGATATTAAACTATGCAGCGTGGGCCAGTGTTTACATAACTGCCACAGAGGAGGCGAAAGAAGTCATTCTTAGCAGCTTGTTGGTTTAGAATACAGTTGCCAAGCAATTCTTCCCTGCAGCGCCGTTAGGGCGTACAGACCCCAGTGGCTGAGCCCCCACTCACCAAGGTCAGTGCCTCCACACTGGCTCCCATCAGACAGAGGTATCGGACCACATCAAGGATCCCGTTGTTGGCAGCAAGGTGTAGAGGCGTCCGTCCATACTGGAAGAGAAAGAAAATAAACTGGAAAACCAAACCAAAACAAACAGGGGGGTGAGGGGTGTTAAATGCCTCTTTAAAGTTTTATAGCACAGGCTGACCTTGAATTTTCTCCTACCTTTCCTGAGTAGCTAGGATGACAGGTGAGAACCACCATGCCTGATTCACTGCCACTGGTTAACAAGACCCTTTGGTTCCCATCTCATAACTGAGGAAGACACTTAGGGAGGGTGTTCCAGTGCCAGGGTCCATCAAGAAAGAGAGACCATGGCTCCCAGAGGGAGGCAGCCAGGCCAAAGACTGTCAAGGACAGTGCAGTTAAAAGAATGACTTCAAAATATGAGTTAAAAGATGAAAGAGCAGGAGGCTTGTCAAAGATGAGTTAAGTCTGCTGGCACAAAGGACGCATGAGTCAGGGGCACAAGGGCCCTCAAGTCCCAGCAATAATTAACCTAGGTTCACGCTGGGACACAGCCAGGGAGAAGGAGGTGGAAGACACTAATGAGGGGAAATTCAAGGGCCACATGTATTACGCTTTCATGCCTCCTCTGCAGCTCAGGACACTGCAGTAAACTCACAGGGGTTCTGAGGATGAGTTAAGGGTTTTGATGGGACCACTCAGTCAGCACCCTAGGCGAGCTACTCACTCAAGGTGCTCTGAGTCTCGGCACAACTGCCCCACTTTGCTTTCCATGCCATTGTATCTGCATGCCAGCCCCCGGAGTTTGGCGGCTGCTGTGATAGTAAGGATTCTGAAAATCAAGGGATGCAGGTGACAAGGCAGGGCGTCCACTCTCAGCAAGGCTGGATGAGTGTGTGCCCAGCAGGCACACAGTGATTAGTGAGGACTACAGCTATGTAATAACAAGACAAAGATGTTGGTTTTCTTTCCACTTATGTATTTTATCTTTCTCAATTGTGGCTAAGTTATGTGCACTGAACTAATGCAGACAGCTGCGAGGTGCTTCTTTCATTCAGGGAAACCATGCACAAAAACTACTGAGATGCTAAATATGCTGTGAGCTGGTGGAAGTCTGGGGATCTCTGGTTTAAGCTACTTTATACTTACTTTGTACTTTTGTTGTAAAGTCAACACATGTGCATTTAAAATATGCAACCAATATAGAAGGATAAATGGTAGAAAACAAGTCTCTGGCCCCTGCTCTACTTCGCCCTCTTGTTCCCATGCTCACACTATTCCTACTTAATATTTCGGGGTATCTCCTTCCAAGCCATCACTTGTGAAGCCTTTGTAAGATACAACTGACTGAGGTGAGATATGGAACCTTGCACCTGCCTGCCAGCAGTAGACTGTGAATGCTTGTCCATATCTCTAACTGTGTCTGTTACCCACTTTTGAATAGACAAGTAACCCTCAGTGCTTCACCAGTGCATCGCCTTGACTCAGTGTCAAGGTTTATCCGGTAGCTTGCCTGGGATGGACAGGAAGGGATTTCTGATTCCTTGTTGTAAATAACACTGAAATAACACTGCAGTATGTGCACACATTCGTGCTTTGCTTACTATCATCTCTACAGTGATTCAGAAAGCAGACATTAAACTTTCAAACATCCTAGAGTTAAGGAGGAAATAGAAGATTCTGAAGAACTGGATGACATGCCTGGGAGATAAAACGTAAGGAAGATGTGGTTTGACCACAGAGGAGCAGAAGTGTAGAGAAACAATAGGCAGAAGTACAAGGAGGAAAAGGGCCAAGGAGACCAGCAGCTGCGAAGACCCCACTTTGGATAGTGCAAAACTCAAACTCCTCCACATGACAGTGCAGCCATTTTGCCATCTGGACCCATCTGTGCCCATGTCCTCACCTGTCCCTGCCAGCCTCCTCACTAAAGAAGTACATGGCACCCCTTCTCTGTCCCCTGTGGTCTCTCACAGATTCACATGCTTTCCTTTGTCCAAAAGTGGCTTTCTGGTCCTATCATCTGTCAAAGCTGCAGTCACACTGTCATCTCCGGGAACTTTTTCTGGTGGTCCTGTGTTGTCCACAGCCCCTGAGCCTGTTGCAGTAGTGATAACAGTGCACTAGGCTGCTACTCCCAGATGTGCACATGCCTGTCTAAACCAGACTCAGGGTGCACCATCTCCTCGGGCACTCATGAGCACCTTTCCCTGCATGTGCCACAGTGCTGCCTGGAAAGCACCAACAAAGGTCCAGCATGTGCAACGCTCTCTCACCCCTGGCTTGGAGCACATGGGCCACATGCTCTCCCCACCTTGACTTATGAGAATCAGTGCAGAAAGACGCAAGTGCATAAAGGCCACATATTCCATGCCATCTTCTTCCCTCTGCAGCATGTACTCTAACATGGCTCCGAAACTTCAAATGAAGGAAAGAACTAAAGCAGGAAAGGGTATCTTCCTTCTATGGCAGTGGACATCAAAGACTGTTACAAGGTCCCAACACCCACTGTGATGGTGGCAGGATCTGAATAGTAATTTGCCCTCTGGAATATCTAACCTAGAATTATTATTATTATTATTTTGGTACCAGGGATCGAATTCACAACCTTGCACTTGCCAACTAGGCACTTGAGCCACTGAGCTAAATCCCCAACACATTACATTAATATCTAATCTAGTAGAAGAGGCAAGACAAGGCTATCGGAAAGCACAGTTGTGGGCTTGAAGACTGTGGATGCCCAGGCCACATCCATGCCAACAGGATTTTGCAGAGCTAGATGGGATGTGCCTGGGAGGAAAACTAATGCCTTTTCCTTCCTTAAGCTTTTCAAGAGTCTCTACCATCAATCGTTTGAAAATAAAAAACAATGGGAAGAAATAAAAGTACTATAAAAGTACTATAGTTTGGACATGGCTTTATCCCTCAAAGGCCCGTGTGCTCGCATGATGCCACATGCCAGGGTCATGTGTGGGGCAGAGGTCTGCACAGCAGGAGGGGCCCGGTCTCTAGTAGCATTTGTGATCTACCAGTGAGCACTTGCAGTGTCAAAAATGTATAGACTTTCCTATCACATAAGACAAGGTTTTGTTTAGTTTTACTTGGTCAGTTGTTTTTCTTTTTACAATGCTGTGGATTGAGCCTAGGGCCTTCTGCTTTAAGTGTGTGCTCCCTACTGAGTTACACACTCTTTTTTGTTTTTATACATGACATCTGGAATTGTCTTGCTGTTTTTTTTCGTTTTGTTTTTGGTTTTTTTTTTTTTTTTTTTTTTTCCTTTTTATCGGTACCAGGGATCGAACTCACGACTGCCTGCGTGCAAGGCAGGCACTTAAGCCATGAGCTAAATCCCCAGCCTCTGTCTTGCTGTTATTAAAGGGCCTGTTTAACAAGGCCACCATTTACTGTTTTAGGGGGATTGGTGGAGATTTAACCCAGGCCTTTCCCTGCAAAACCTGAACTGTATTACTGAGCTACAGCCCCGGACACTATGTACATGGTAGGCCCACTGCCCACACTCACCAAATCTAAAGGAAGTCTACTGAGTGCTCGAAGTTCCTTGAAGCCCTTTAGACTCATTTGAAGAATTCTAGAAAGAAAGCCAAGTATCGATGCTGTTCAATATTACACTTGGCTCTTCCCTTGAGTTCCACAACTGAGGTGGCAAGATTAGAATGGGGCAAACCACAAAAGCACCAGCAGCTAATGGTGCTAATGGGGCGTCACATTTTCTCCTCCCCCAGCATGGGAAGGTGACCCATTTCCATTTCCATTAATCACATAATTAATTACAGAATGAATCACATAATTAATTACTATATAAGAGGAATAATTTTTCTGCAGAAACAGAATTTTCTGGCTATTTTAAATACTATTTTAAACAAATTATTAAAAATCCTGGTGGCATTGCTGACGGTGTTTATAAACTTCCCGCAATTAAATCAATCCTGCTTGGACTTTGTTTTTAACACAATCATAGCAGACGTGTGTCTGCCCTTCAAACAGTTACAGATCTAAAATGGCATTAATATCCAAATGCTCCATCTTATTTGGCAACGAAAATCTCAGTGGGATTCAGAGAAAAGGGAAGCTGGTAGCCAACCTCTAGAAATCAGCATGTAAATTTTTTATGAACCTGGAAGCACATAACTTATTATTTTCATTTTTTATTATTTACCAGATGATAGCCTCTCATTGGTCTTACTAAATAATTTAGCATGAGAAAAAGTGTTAGGAACTTCTGACCATAGGGTTCACAACAGAGAAAGACAGGGAAAGCCATAAGGCCCTAGGAAGCTTGTTCAAATCATGCCACCAGGTATTTCCTGAAGGCTTAGTGTTCTAGACAGACATCTTCATTTGTACCATGTTAACCAATTCTGCAGAAGCACGCACCCATTCTCATTCATTCTCTTTGTCTCTCTGTCTCTTTCTCTGTCTCTGTCTCCCTCTCTCTCTCAATGCCTACCAGTGGGCCAGTCAAAAAGAAAATACTTATAAGTACGATAATATTGTGCTGTTCTATGAAATTATTAAAAAGTCACATGTAAAGTGGGACTATCCTAAAAAACAAATCCACAGGAGAGATACTCACTTTGAACAATAACATACAAATAGAAACTTGGCCAAAACCCAGAAACATGGGGCTAGAGAGACACAGATAGACTGTGCAGAGCTCTTATCCTCCACACTTACCTTGTTTGAGATGTCTAAAGCACAGTTTGCTTCACAGAGGGCCACCACAATAGGCACATTGCCATCTTTGCAGGCCACGTGAAGTGGGGTGTTGCCATGCCTGTCCTGGAAGTCGACTGGACACCCTTGGCTTATGAGAGTCTTGATGACCTCCATCTGACACCGTCGCACAGCAAGATGAAGGGCAATATGCTCATCCTGGAAGCAAACCAAGGCCATGAGTGCTTGGCACTTAGGCAGGTGGCCCAGGTCTCCCCACCTTTCCTACCACCACCAGCTAAGGCTTAATTAGCAAAATGACCATTAGTACCAAGCCTAGAGCAGGATTTTAGCAGCTATTGACTCTATTCTGGAAGGGAGAGGCTTTATCTGCTCCACTCTGAATTATCACAGCCTAAGCGGAAAAACAGCTTGGGTAATTTAGGCTTCGGCAGTACAATTAAGTAGAAAGAACCCATACTTCTTTGTCTCTGAATTTATTACACAGGATTTATCGCTGATACTTCCACAGCCAGTTTAATTGAGTATTAAAAACATATTTTTTCAAAACATTTGCCCAAGATACTTACTAACTTCCTAGGTAAGAAACTTACTGCTTTATTTTACACCAGTGGAACCGTGAATAATCTGGTCAGAGCTGTCATCCACATGAGGGCAGACCTAAATTCCCTACCTCAGCATTCCATAGGAACGGGCTGTGAATTCGCGCCACCCACCACAGCCTCCTGGGACAGCAGGTGTGCTGAGTTCTGGCATTACTCTCATCACAGCTGTGAGGCTTCTTACCACGAGGCTCAATCTACCAGTTGCCAGCAGCAAGCGTATCCTAGTGTGGTAACCCAATTATGTCTCCAGGGATGATCCAAAGACCCCTAGGGGCAACACTGTCCCCACTGAGAACCAGAACTCCCTACCAAGACATCACTTGACAAATGGAACTTCATAAATTACCTTCAGCACCCCAAATCTAACTGTGTGTGTGGCAACATCAACACTAAACGATAAATTCACAATGAAAGGAAATTATACTGAGTGTGCTTACAGAGGAAACACTTGGTCTAGAAATGAAATTGCAATACGAATAAGAGTAACTTATCACCTTTCCATAAAGCAGGAAGTGGTGGAAGTAAACGGAGGAGCTATTTCATTGTGAACCTGAAAATTAATAGTTGTTGCCAGTCTCAGGTCTCAAGGAGGTTTGTGAGTCTGCAATCATCACTGCACTTGTTCCAGTGCTGAGGTTAAAATCAGAAAGCCCAAAACAGTGGGACTGATCATAAATTGTATTACATGCCACAAATGAATATTAATTATTACACCAAATTTAGAAAGGTTCAAAGAATCCTTGGGACAGAGAAAAGATAATCACAAGTTGTATTCAAGAGCCTGTTGTGCTGCAGAAACACACCAATGAGTCTCGCAGTCCCATGAGTCCCCCAGATCGTATCTCTGTGACTGTGACATACTCCCCCAATAAAGTACCTTGTCACAGGCATTCAGATCGGCTCCGTGCTCAGCCAGACACTCCACGATGTCATGATAGCCTCTCGCGGAGGCTGTCAGGAGCGGTGTCTCTCCTTCCCGATTCTTGATGTTCACATTACAGCCGGCTTCGCAGAGGGCTTTGGCCACAGAGTAATAGCCATGCCAAGCGGCACAGTGCAGGGGTGTTTCCTCTTCCTGGGCCAGGGAGAAGCACACCAAGGAGTATGACACAGTGTTGTGAAGGAAAGCACAGGCATGCTGAGAAACTTGGCAGAATTCAGGAGTGGATTCAAGTCAAAGGGCCTAGGGCTAAGAGCTCAGCTAGTGGGGCAAAATATTAATCTGAAATAACAACCCCAGAGTGAGAGATGACCTGTAAGAGGCAGATCCAGTGTCTCTACTTCGTTATTTTTCTTTCCTTAAACCTTGTGTGTTAGAAGAATCTGATGTTCTAACAAGAGACTCTGGAGAGCCCTGGAAACTGACTGAGTGTTCCTGACACAGAGCCTTCCTGTGGGAGGATTTATAACACCTTTCTGGTGAAACTGTCTTCATTTACTGCATCTGAAACTATTAACAGAATGTGAGCACTTCTTCAAGCAACAATTCTTCTAAGTCTTGTTTAAAAATCCCTCACATATGTAATATGAAGATGAGTCACAACAGCATGACTGCCTCAGCAAGGAAGCATTCCAATCTGCTGTGCTCTAAATAGTGCAGGGAAGGGTTGGTCGGGAGGTTTCTACAGATTGTGAGGTCCATACCTTCACTGCCATTATAGACAGACACTCATCCGACTGTGACTAAAAGGTGCTGGTGTGAACTCTGAAGCCAGACTGTGTTGTTTCAAGCCCAGTTCCAACCATTTCACAGAACTGAACAAGTGATGGAACTTTCCTCTTATTCAGCTCCTCGTATGTCAAGTGAGGGCAACAGGGATAGAAGGTAAATGAGGAAGCTCTGCATTCAGAAGTGAACCTGGCACCGATGCGCCCCCCACACCAAGTGCTCTGACTGTGCGCCCTTAGATAATTGGATAAAACACAGGCTCCAGCGACACAGGGAGACCCACATCAGACAGCAAGACCCACCTTGTCCTGGAAGTCAGGATTGGATCCGAAGCTACACAGAAGCTGAACTACATCTGCGTGGCCATAGCGAGCTGCCACGTGCAGGGCTGTCTCTCCAGACTGCAAAAGAAACAGGCCAAGACCACTCAGTGAGCAGGCCGAGGAGGCCGAGGAGGCCGGAAGGCAAGGCCTGCTCCCACACATGCCTGGTCTGTGTCGGTCAACACCCCCTCCCGCAGACCACGCACCTTGGAAATGGGCCAGGGCCTGCCCACCAGGCAGCAGAGTTAACATACACAACAGCACACTACTAGGGACAACCCAAGAGTACACACAGTGCGACAGTTCTGCCTTTCCATGACAGCATGCTGAGCTTTCACAACATACAGATGTTTCTAGCTGTCAGTTTTTAAAAACACATAAAATTCTTTTTTGAGTATCATGCTCATCATACTGTAGTTATTTAAATGAGTAGTTTTATTTATTAACAAGTTTCTCATTCAATGACTTGTCTATGCTTAGAAAGTTATTTCTTATTCTTAAGTTAAATCATCAGTATCTGCTCATGAAACGGCTTTCTATGAATTTATAACAAGTGAAGCCCTTTAAAATGTTTTATTTATGTCTGCCACCCACCAAAGTCTGAATAAACTAGTCAGAGAGAAAACAAGATATTGCATTACCAACTGCCAAAACCCTGCCATGATGTATGTATTATGGTTTTGATCTTAAACGACCCCTAGGGTCTATTGCTACAGCTCAGGGCCAGCCCAGGCACCTGTGATGTGGAAACCTAAGTGAGGGAGTGCAGCCTGGGAGAAGGAGGTCAGCTCACTGGTGTGTGCCCATAAAGGGGAGACTGGGTCCCCACCACCTCCTCTTGTCTTTCCAGGATACCATGAGATGAGCAGCTGTGTCTCACCACACACTACACACTGCAGTGCTCTGCCTCACACGCCTCAAAGTTCATAGACTGAAACTTTTGCTACCTTGAGTCCAACTAAACCTTTCCTCCTTTTAAGTAAATTTCTCATATTTTTTTTTACAGTGACCAAAAGCCAACTAATACAGCCTGTCTGTCATTCTGTCAACAAGGTTTTGCTTTGCTTCTCAGGGTAGGCTTGACCTCATGATCCTCCTGCCTCAAGCTCCGCAGCAGTTGACATTAAAGATATGTGCTATCACACCTAGCCAATGGTCTCTTTGATGTGAATGTTATTCCTTAGGTATAGTACAGTACATAACCCATGCAACTGGGTGTGGAAGCCTTAAATTAACATTACAAATTAGTTTACAAGCATTGGAAATATTTCTATGAAATGCTGTATAGTAGAATAAATCATTAATAAGAAAGTACAAAACTTGGGTTTGATCAGCTTCTAGCCCTGCCAATTAATACAGAAGATTACTATGGAAACTTATAAAACAGATATATATTAAAGATACATTGATAAATCAAAAATGTTACTAGCATCTTGGTGCCATAAAAGCCTTATTTGGTGTGAATTATCATACTAATCTAGTGCTGGTGACTTTAGTTCAACACTTCCAGCCTTTTCAAAGAGGAAGAGAATGACAGAAATTTGCTTAGCAACATAAGGTGAACTGGAATTTCAGGACTCAGGTCTTTTTCTAGTTGTTTTCCTACTAGAACTTGGGGTATCCATGTTACGGTAAAGATAATTCAATGCTTATATATTATGACAACTCTCTAGTAGATTTCATCTTAAGGCAGATTCTAAAATTAGACTAAGCCACTGGCAAAGGAAACTTAAGCTTTAAACTCTTTGCAGGAGGATCCCAGTCGTGAATCTTCACCCTGGGTCCTGGTGCACCTATCCCACTCCTCCCCAGAGAATGCCCTTACCTTGTCCTTCACATCCAAAGGGCACTTATTCTCACTGAGAAATTTCAAAGTGTCCACGTGGCCATGCCGAGCTGCCCAGTACACAGCATTGGATCCGCCCTGCGTGAAAACCCGTGTGGAGTCACAACCGACAGAGCTAAACACATATTTCCCTTAGAATCACTCAAGTCCCCTTCCTATGCAGTGACAAATCCCAAAGAAGCCACTTCCAAAAGGACTAAAACTCATTCAACATTAATAGTTTTAGCAATTGCACCACAGGGAACATTACGTGTTGGGTGTAAGGCAATTATTTATAACATCTTTGTAAGTTCCTTGGGATATCTGCATCTATTTCAAAGCAAAAGATGCTTTTCTCTCTTTAAACCTCATTTCCACCTCTAGTTGAACTCTCGATCCAGTAGCCCTCAGTACCTGCAATAGCACCAGGCTCTCTAGTGGACACCTGTGACCATGGACACTCAAACACCTTCTACAAAATGTGGAATCTGTGTAGATGCAGTGCATATCCTCTTTTATGCTTTAAATCACATCTAAATTAATCAGAACACCCAACAGAATGGACATGCTATATGAATAGTTATTATAGTATGCTGTTTAGAGAGTGAGATGAAAAACAGAGATATTTTTGATCCACAGTTGGGTGCACACAGGGATGCAGACACCTGGCTGTGCAGGGCTGGCTGTACTGGGAAGAGGCAGATTTAATCCACTGACAGCTCTACTGGCATCTTTGGGAGCTGAGGACATATTCACTGTAAAGATTAGGAGATGTTAATTTTGTCTATACTTCTGGAGGGCACTCCTCAAAAGGTATCATTCATACTTGGGTGCCCTAACACTTATAAGCAAAATTTTTTTTTCTGAGTAATTTAACTAGACAATGAAAACTTTTACAAAACTGGGTAGGTACAAAGAAATGCTGAGACTGAGCCACAAGAGACAAACATTTGCTTTTTTTCTTATACATGTTTAGAAACCGATTATGTGGGATATTTACGCAATTCATTTTCCTTTATAGGAAACTGGTGAATTAAGACACTTGAACATACATTTTTTTTTTCCTGGTACCTCTACAACTAAAAATGCATTCATTATATGATAAAATAGAATTATGACCTTATCCTGGACATCAATTCTTGAGCCTCTTTTTAGGAGCAGCTGTAGTATTTGAATATTCCCACAACCAGCAGCAATGAGTAATGGAGGTGTCCCATGCTAGAATAGATGAGAGAAAAAATGACAATTCGAGTTTGACAGGAAAGACAAGATCTACACTGTGACTGCTGCCTCCTCTCCCACTGCACCCTCATGCCCCTCCCAGGTCTCAGGCTCAGCCCTGTGGTGGGCATCAGAGATCTGGCAGAAAGATAAGCAACCCTTCCTTTTCCGGATTCCTAATCAAATTGTATGGTGCTGTCATTTGCAGGATAAGCAGATCGAACATTTCCTGGGGAAGAATGAAGGAAAGCCCTCAGTGCAGAAAGATATTGTCTATAACTATGATTGCTCTAAACAGAAGCAGCTTTCCTCAGATTAGAGGCGCCAAATGGAGGGGAGAATACAGAAGCATGTGGTATTGCTCCAGCCTTGGGCTTGGAGGTGCAGTCACTGACATGTTCCTGGCAAAGTGGAAACAGACCTTGCTAGGTTGGTTAACATCGTAGTTGGACAATGAGCCCAGAAGGTGCTGCAGGCCTGGGACATTGTCATCGTTGATGGCATGGATGATGGCTTTCATCACGAAGGAGTCCTCCTCATCCTGCAGTGAGACAGTGAGAACAGAAGGGGAAGCTTGCTGGCCCTGTTCCTCTTATCAACATAAGCAAAGCCACTGCTGACTTGTTAAAGGAAGTAAGTGTACAGAGGAAAGAGAGACACTTACTGGCCTGAGGCCCATGGTCATGAAGGGAGCCTGGAGGTGACTTTGTTCCCTTTCCTTGTTGCCAACTAATACCATCTACTCTTTAGTAAAACCAGTGCCACCTGTATCGTAACTCACAGGGGAAAGAGCTACAAGATTCAGATTTTAAACAACGATGATGAGAAGAATCCCTTTGTGTTTATCACAGAAATCTGTCAAAACACAGTTCTAGAAACCACTGTGGGGAATTTCAGGTGAAATACAAACTCTCTGTACAAAGAAAAGCAACACTGTAGAATCTAGGAAATGGTATTTTTGAATAAGATAGTCTCTATCAATTAGAGAATTAATGTTTTGAGCATTTGAATTTCTTCTTTGCACCTAAAATAAAATGGCAAAATTCTCTGATGCCTGATCACAATGAAAAATATAAAACACAAGAAAAATATAAAACTAGAAGTCAAAAATAGGAAAATGGATGCATTTCTAATCACAAAGGAAAGCAAATTGCAGAGTACTAAATCGAGATTTGTTAATTCTTTGCCACCTTGCTATTTATTTTAACAAGCTATTTCCAAAGTGTGGTCCATTAAACTAAAGAACAGCTTTTAACAATGCAATGTCAATAAACCAAGAAAATGTGCTTTCTCATCTGTAAGACATGACAGCCAGCAGAGAGCACTTTCCTGATGCCCTGCAGCATGGAGAAAAGGGTGAGGACCGTCTGCTCCTTTTGTACCACTGAGAGTCTCTCATGTCCATGGCAACTGAGGGCTCTCATTTTAGTTCATACAAAGTAGAATGAGCTCTGTTCTCCATTGTTAAACTCTCCTTTGCCAGGACACATACATCCACACTCACACACGGATGCACACATGCGTGTGTATATGTATGTGGTACATGGTATGAGAAAAAGTGTGAGCAGCGTGTGAGACAGAAGGACAGTACCACTCAAATAAAAAAAGTAACAAGCCAGAGGGGACATCAAATCAGCTACCCAATGACTAGGTTTTCTGGGTTGCTGAAGAATCAGAACAATCTACACATTCCAAAGACACAGCAGTAAGGAACAGGATCACTAAGGTAAATGGATTTGCTTACCAGCGTATCATCACTTCTGGCAACACTCACGTTACTTCTGGACAAGAATGACCTAGACAGTCTTTGGCACAGTGATATCAAGCGAACGGATTGCTTTAAAAATAACAACAACAAAAAGTTAGAGGAAGCAGAGGAAAGGGAGCTCAATAAAATTACTGCAAATGACAAAGTCTTTCAAGTGGCATTCTTAGCTGACAGTACTTTTCTGGGGGCTGATCCTGTGACAGGTTGGACTATATTTGCTAAAAGAATAATTTTAAGGTCTTAAAAATTCGGACAACAGGGTTTCAAAGTAGGTTACTATAATGTATCCTGCTATCCTGTATTGCTCTCACCATCTTGTTTTGACTGATTTTCCCCTATTTTGCTTTGCTAGATAGTACCAAGTTCGAAAGTATAGGCAACAACTGTGAAGACAGTAAGATTCATTATGACGCCCATTCTGGTTGACTGTTACCTTCTTTTAAAGTCCTGTAAAGTCTCCAATGTTTTGGTTTTATTCTTTACTGTTTTGCTCAATTTTATTATAACTGATGATATAGGCAATTCTTCTTAAGATAGCAAGAGGCAGTATGGTAAGCATTGTTGATCACCTTGTATTTTGTTTTTACATTATCTATTTATGTTCATCCTTTTGATTTGACTGACTCTGTTCTGATAATTCGCATTTGTTTTTCCTCTCTTCAAAAAAAGTAATAAGAACTGTGGAAGTAATAAAACCCAAAATGTGTAATTGTCATAAAGAAAAGAAGATGCTCTAAAGGTTATAACTGCTTATATTTTTGAGTGTGTAAGATGGATAACCATATTACTGAGTTTTTTTTGGATCACTGAACAAAACTGTTTGCACTCTCACTGTTTGAAAGTCCACTTTATATGCTTTAATTTTGTAACTTGAACAATTATTTCTAAGATGAGAATATGTAATCTATTAACTAGTGATTTTTTACTGTTTATTTTTTAAATTTTGTATTACTTGTACCCTTTCTCTGTTTTTTTCTTTTTCTCCTTAAATTAAAAAAAAAAATCCGGACAATAGGACAGATTTTTGAGCATTTTGTTACAAAGTTGCAGGACTCTGTATCCTCCTTTCTGCATACTTTGTTCTCTGTTCTTTGAGGAAGCTGATCACGCCCTAGCAAACTCCTTGAAAGTCCCTCAATTAGAATAGTACACACGGCCAGCAGCTCAGGATACAGGATACAGGGACTCTGACCTCTGCGAGCAGTGAGCTAGATAATGTGATTATCAGAGCACATACAGTTATCAGAGATGAACAAGTGTTAGATACCTTTGTTTACAGGACAAAAATTTTTCTGTTTATCATGTATATTTGTTCAAAGGCAGACACAACACAGAGGCAGAAGCAGAAAGAGAAGAGAGTACTGTAGTACTTGGCCCTATCGTGGAAGCCAAAATTTGATGGGAGTGTACACAAGGCACACTGTTGGGCCAGTGCTGGGAAACACGGATAGCCCTTACTCCCTCTCTGGATTTGCCATAGCCCTGGCAATAATAAGCCACCCCCTCACAATCTGAAACTTAAATTTTAATTGCTCTAGGATGCTTGTCCAGTGTCTCTTTGCCCAGAGACACCATCTTGAGGCAGAGACCATCCACCATGAGAAAGTAAAATGGGCCACATTGCTAATGTTCCTGTCTCGCTCCGTCCCAGCCACTCAGGGACTAAGGCTGAAACACAAGGTAAGTTACATACACTCTGGTATACATGTATTATCAGGCTGCTTACCCCAAAGAATGACTTTATTTAAAATGCTGCTTGTTGTATTTAGAAAAAGACTTCATTGTAATTTTATAGAACTGATTTTAAAAATTGCATTGGGAATTAATTTGACAAAAGAAAACACAAAATTATATTAGAAAGAGTTAGAAAGGACTAAATGGTTTTTGCTTGTCTTTGAAAGTAGGGTAATGTTGCAGAAGAACATAGCAAATCAAAACCAAAAAAAGAATGTATTTTCCCACTGTCAACATCAGAACAGATGAACACTGATCAGACAGAACTATAAAGAAGAAACACTGCTAAATCTTTCTGTGTCAAATAATCTTACTTTCCATTTTTTCCGGGCTGCAAACTTCTTGAATTTCTCCATATTTACTGCTGATGCTTTTCTACTAAGTGCTTGTTGCGTATCTTTAGGCTAAAATGAAAATTCAAGAAAAAATTTAGAGCTCTTCAATTGCAAAAATAGGTTATATGACAATTTTTAAAACATCTCTTTATTCCCAATAAGCTTACTAAAATAGTAGTATAAGCTGGAAAAACATACAAAATCTAGGAACTCAGTCTTAGCAGTAGAACTTTTAGGGTTTAATATAATCCATAAAAACTGGATCTGGAAAGAAACTCAGCTTAGCATCAAACCAAAGTACAACTTTCCGTACTGATAGTTGAAGATACAAGAGTCAAGCATATTATGAACTTTCTGAACCTGGGAATTGTCAAGCAGTTTTAGCTGGGAGAACCATAGACAGGTACAAATATGGTGGCTCTATAGCATTTCAATTCCTTCTACTGCAGCTAGTTCAGCAGATGCATTTAGAAACTGGGCTCGTATCCCACAGAAGCAGCTGACAACTATGGGAAGGACTTAGGCAGGCAGTGTCCTCCACTTGTCCCCAGCCTTCTTCTGGAATGTCCTGCTGGTTCAATGACATTGTTTTGCAACTGCCACATTTCTGTGAGGTGGTTTGGGTCTTAAATGCCTGACAAAGGCTCATATGCTAAAGGCGTGGTCACCAGCCTGCAGTGCTACAAGGAAATGGGGAACCTGTAAAAGGCAGAGCCTAACGAAAGCAAGTTGGGTTGCTGGCATGTGGGCTCTAAGCATTCCCTGTCTGCTTTTCTGTCCAGGCCACAAGGTGAGCAACTCTGCTCTGCCACATGCTACCCGCTATCTGCCTCACAACAGGTCCAAAAACAAGAGCAAATGAGCAAGGACTGAAACTCTGAGCCCAAATAAGTCTTTTTCCCTCAGGAACACATCCCTTGACTTTAGTTTGAGGCTCAAGCAACATCAGTTTCTTTAATTCAAATGCCAACAACACAGGTAATATGCAGTTGTCATCTGCCAGGGGCAGCCACGTGCCCTAGTGAAAGGCTACAGTGTCATTTCCCATGGCCCTGTGACCTGAAAACTTAAGTTTTGATAGATTTTCACAGTTTTCAAGAGAAGCTGGAAATCCAGATTTGATATAATATTTACATCATAGAAATTCATTCAAATTTTAAAAACATACTGTTGGACCACCACCCCAACAGGTCAAACCAAGCATGCCTGCTGAGTAAACCTACTCTTTTCTAACATGCTCCATAAAAGTTTATTACTCTCCTCCACTTTTGATGATTGGGATGCACTCTAACTTGTGTTTTCATGCATGGCACTCACAGCACAGGTCACATCGTGGGCAAGAACCTTAGCTAGTAGCACTCCAGGACAAATGAATTCTAGAAGACCCACACTAACTATTTAGAGAAATGACTGAAGCAGCACATAGCTCACCTTGATCCAGGGATGTTGCAGACTGTCCTGAATTGTCATCCTCTTCCTTCAGGGGAGGGAAGGAAAGAAGATGCTGTGAGCTGGCAGAAAGCACCGCAGTGGTTTCTATGACCATTCTGCCTGCTTTCGTGCAGACACCCTGGAAGACAGCCTTTTAGGCGTGCCTCACAGCAGGGGGCAAGAGCTGCACTGGCTATTTTCTGATAATGTCCTGCAGAGGGATTGAAGTGTGAGTGCAGAGTCCTGAGAATACTTTCTGAAGCGACACACACAACACACTCCCTTCTGGCAGAAGGACCGAGCTGGGTTGGAAAAAGGTAGCTCTGTGCAAGAAACATGTCTTAGTCCCTCCCAGGGATGCTGGACACTCACTTTGGATCCTTGACCAGAAGTCTCCTGATGAAATCTTTGGCAAGGGCACTGGTATTACGGAAGTATTCTTCCTCGAATTCATAGTTGACTGCAGATACGTTCGCTAATGTTTCTTGCTTAGTGTCCCCAAGAAATGGGGAGGCCCCGCTTAGGCTGTGAAAAATAATGTAGGGCACAGAATGTGAATGGTTACCTCATGTTGTCATTTCATTCCACTAATGTCTGATAAGGGAAGAGGGAGTAACACTCGAATTTGGTGCTTGACAGTCACTTTAACATTCAGTCAGATTTCATGGGGCATTTAACTGTTCTGAACAACTGCATCCATCCAATTTTTACACTGGATTCATTTTAGAATTCATTTAATTTAATTTCCATTCATTTAAGGGGAAATAGTGTCTAAAAGCTTTAAATAAATCCTTTCTTCCTATTTTCTCTGCAGGGAAGGACAACCATACTTTCCTACAATGGTTATGCTGTACTTCCTGGTGATTCATTCTGAATTAGGAAAGATATTTAATTAGTATGAAGGAAACAGTTTGGGGTGTAAGAAGAATGTATATAAGTAAGAGCATGCACAAGCTACAAGGATCAGCAAGGTGCATTTAGTGAGTAGACATGTGATATCAAAGAAAAGAATCCCAGTGATGGATTTGGTAACTTACAGAATATAGGTGATTACTCCGATACTCCTAGACAGAAAATCAAAACAAAAACCACATCAGTGGAATAGTAAACTAAATCAGAAAGAGAGCAACATCAAGGACTTTTTCCTTACCACATATCTGCCTCAAGACCCAGCGGTTCATAGTTGACTATCTCGGGAGCTGAGAGGAAATAAAACATTTATTTAGCTTGGGAAGGCAGAAAGCTGGCAGATTCTCTCTTCAGGGAACAACTGGAAACACAGACAGGGACTCTATGGCTGGGAGGTGCCGCCAGCACAGTCTGTGAGACACAGATGACTGCAGGGCGAAAGAAACCTACCGACAAACTCTGGTGTTCCAAATATGTTCTTGAATTCATTTCCAAAGTCAATTTTATGGGCCAAGCCGAAGTCGATGATTTTGATCCGAGGTTTGGGAACATTTCTATCCAAAAGCATTATGTTCTCAGGCTTAAAAGAATGAGAGAAAAAGGGCAGTGCATGATATTAAGAAGGCGGAAGAACAGCTCTTCCATGCTCCTAAAGAATAACCAAAAAACAGGGAAGATGGACATTGTGGCTTAGTTCTCCCAGGAGAAGGTGTAAGCAATGTTTGGGGCCCAGGTTTCCTGCTGGTGGGGAATCCGGAGATGTGAGATACAGCACAGGAGGCAGAAAACAGGAAGAAGCCAGAATGACAAGCTGTCTTATCGAAATGGCTGTGACCAGTTCAGGACTTCAGGACAATTCGGGGAGAGAAGGTAGAACTCAGCATTAATCCAAATGAAGCTCAAGGGAGCTGGGGCCTTTCCCATACCTCCCAACTCCTCACTGAGAAGAAAGACTCCGTGGCCATTTATTCAGGGAATTTCCAGCCCCCAGAGCCAGAACAAAACATCACACAGAGCAGCAGGTACTGAAGCAAGCTGCCTCTGGGCGTGGCTCGTGAGCACTACTGTGCACTACTGTGCAGCTCCACTACAAAAGTATGGTGGGCAATACTGTGGTCCTCTAAGTCTTCTCCAGCAACCTGAGTCCCATCCTGCTATGTCTCTTTTCACTGCTTTGAATCTAACAGCATCACTTTCTGTTGCCTCTGTGTGTTTTCCCTTCCCAAACAGTAAAGCTCTCTGATGGCCAGGATCACAACCTAGACACCTTCTCATTGCCCACAGTGCCTTGCTTCCAGCCAGTCAAAACCTCACACATCCAAGTCTCAGAGTTGGGGCTGCTCTATAACCAGCATCAGGGGAAAGTTATGGCCTGCATATTAGGTGAACAGTAGAGAACAAGACCCTTTCTACTGATGCCAACAGTCACAGGGGGATAGAAACCATGCCTGTTGACTGCTGCTGGCTGAAAACACCCCTAGGAACCAACAGCTCTCTTGCCTAAGACCTGGCTGTAAGACCTTGCCTCTACCCCAAGATTCTCAAATATAACCATTAATCTTAAGCTCTTTTCCACAAAGAAGTTAGGCTTGTCAATTATGTTACTAGTTTCACTTATTAAACCCATATAGGAAAAGATCTGTATCAGATGTCTCATTCAATTTTCCTTAGTAAATAAATCACCAGGGCTGTGGTTCAGCACGAGCCTCCTCTGGCCCCTCCTCCAGAACCATACCTTGAGATCGAAGTGCGCAATCTGAAGCGAGTGCAGGTAGTAAACACCATTAAGAATCTGCTTGAGAAATTCAGTCGCTTCCTCTTCAGTCAGAGATTCCTTTTCAGCTAAGAAGTCAAACAGCTCGCCACCTGCAACGCTGAAAACCGAGAAGCATAGTTTACTGATGACAATTTTATTCTTCAATGACTCACTCCCACACTTACTGGCACACTCAAATTTCAGACACGAAGGAGCAAGATGACATGACTGAACCACCAAGCACAATCAGTCTCTGCGCTCTGAGAACTGCACACTCCAGTGGTGCTGGAGAGCACCTGGGTGCCACCTACCTCCGGTGACACAGTCACAAATGAGGGGCAGAGAACAGCATAGCTTTGAAACATTTTAATTACATGTGCTTAGAAAAAGCTACATGCCAATCTTGTACAGGATTTATAGAATAAATCAACCTATCTCAAGTAGACAATTAGATAACCTCTATGTTAATCAGTTTTTGTCAGTTCAATTCCAAGTGGTCTCACAAGAATTTTCTTTTGGTTTATTATTTGTTTATATATCAACACATATATTTACAAATGTGACACTTAGCAAGGATAAACTACTTAACAAGGATAAACTTACACAAAATTGAAACGTTCGTGGCTAGTCTGTCTCCCTGGCCAGACTGGAGGGCAGGGGTCAGCATTGCCCAGTCATGGGGACTGTTCTATGCCCCTAGCCCAGGGCTGGGCATATAGCAATGCTCAGACTTCCTTATCTAGTGACAGAGGAACAAACTCCCCTTAAAACATGACATTAGTGATTAATGGCAAAATAGGTAACTTTTAGTAACGGTTTTTATAAATTAATCTTAGAAGTTCAATCATATATTTACAGCATAATAATTAACTGCAATTATGCACAAAACTGTTCATTCTTATTTTTTTCCTGGCAAGACAGCCCCAGAAACACAGACATATTGATGAACCTATACCCATTTGGAGTGAAAAAACAAACAAACTGGTATTCATCAAACTAAACAATAAATACAAAAAGTATTTTTCTTAAAGAAAAGGTTTAGATCCCGCTCTAACCCTTTAAGTTGATTTCTGTCTTGAGATGCATAGTCCAGGGTCCACTGGCCTCAAAACTGCATGGTGCTGTCTTCAAAATGCAGCTGTAAGCCTTACTTCCAACCTTCTGCATGATGGGCTTCAAGAGTGGGAACTAGGAAGTTCAGCATTCCAAAAACTGAGAATAATTTTTCCAAATGTTAATTCCACACTGCCTCTGTAAAGCCTCCCTTACATTTACCCAGGGAGTGAGCTGACTCTCCTCACCCTGGACTTTATTCCAAAGAGCTGGCAAAAGTAGGCGGCCTCCTGAGAACGGCCCTGAGAACGGTCTCCTCCCTGGAAAGAGCACAGGAGCTGAGCTCTGCTGGCAAGCTCAACATCCATGTGGGCAGCCGAAGCCTAAAGAAGATGTGGGCCCATGCAGGGACAGCCTGCCTCTTCTCCCCATACTCCAGTCTTGGGGAAGACACATGCAACCACTTTCTGAGCTATGTATCCTCTAGAGCATCCCCACTCAACAGTGTGATACCCTTTTGCATCTTACTACTCCTAAGGACATGAGGAGAGGGAATCCTTCAATTAGAGGGGGAGAAAAAGAAATCAGGAGACTGAAAGGCACTACCTTTGCCAGATGCTACCTGCCCCTCTTACTGACCTCCCCTACTTTGACAGGTCTGCACTGACAGAATACCACAAATTAGGTGGCTTAAAATAACCGAAGTTTATTATTTCACAATTCTAGAGAAGTCCAAAATCAAGGTACTGGCAGGACTTTTCTCCCTTGGAATCCTATTGGGGCATCCTCTATTGTCTCTTTCCAGCTTCTGGTGGTTTGCCAAAGATCTGTGAGGCTCCCTGGCTTGCAAGTGATCACCCAATCCTCTGGCTTCACCTGCCATTCTCCCTCTCTCTCTGCGGGGCTGCCTCTCTGCATGGTCATGTCCATGTCCAAATTTTCCACCTTTTTAAAGGACAACATTCAAATTGGAAAGAGAGCTACTCAGTGACTACATTTCATCTTGATTATATACCCAAGGACTCTGCTTCCAAATAATATGATATTCTGAAACCCAAAGAGTTAGGATCTTAATACATTTTGGAGGTGGGGGAGGGGAGCCTCCAATCCCAATCTATAACAGTAGAAACTGTTCACAAGGTGCAAATAAAATATCACACATGGCTGAAGACACTCATGAAAAAGATAGCAGCAAACTTAGTGGAGGGATATTTAGAGATCAGTAAGGGTTTCTCATAGCCTTACTTTTGGACTGTCCTGTGCTTTGCCTTGGACACTTAATAAGGAAAGGTTTAATCATGCACTGTCAGAATAATTTTAAAATTTAGGTCAGAAAAATGGGGTAAGAAATCCAAACTAGGTCATAAAATTGTATCAGCGATTTCCCTAAACATTTGGAGATGACTTTTCTTTTAACTACCCTGCTGTCCACATGGGAAGTAAGGAGGTGGTACTCAACTACCTCTTGACATTAATGCTAAATAAACAAACAAAAATAAATAAAATTCTTCCTTGCTCTTTAGCTGTCTTTAATTTCTTCTTGTTAATCTAGGCCAGTGGTGGTGAACCTATGGCACAAGGGTTACTTGTTTTTCTTTTAAGACAATAAATACTAAAGTATGAAGTTTTTGTGTCTGTTTGTGTTTTTGGTATTCAAGTTTAATTGTAGTACTGGCACTTTGCATTAAATAAGTGTGTTTTGGGTTGCAGTTTGCATTCTTGTCGTTAAAAGTTTCGCCATCACTGGGAAAAGGGAAAGCCCTGAAGAAATTTCACTTTCTCACTCTTATATTCTAATTTAAACTTTTTGGGTCACTGAGGACCTTGCTAAATGAGAAATTGAGACATATAAAGGAAAAGATGAAATACAATGTATTCCTCTTTTGAACTTGAGAAATAATATGTATGAATTTCCCTTTCAAAAAAGTCTGCAAATGCCATTCTCTCCTTCCTTTGAACTGGGCTGCTCCCAAGTCAACTGAATTTCATCAAAGAAGTTCCTAACATTGAGGATTCCTCTAAACAAGCTCTATATCCTTTAAATTCAAAAATGCACACTGTATCTCAAAATGCATTTTTGGTTTTAATCTCAAATTCAAGTTCAAGTTAAAAACTTAAAAGGAGTTCTGGGGATTCTCACGTAAAAGCATGCCTGGCACTCCAAATGCATGGAGGGGAGTGATCTTTCATTTCAGAAAGTTTGTAATAACAGCTGGCAGGAGCTTTCTGAAGGTCTCTAAAGGCAGAATATTGCCGAATGATGAAAAGACACTGGAGGTAGTATCCTAAGTTTAAATCTAGGCTTTTAAATCACAGGGTCAAATAACTTTCTGAGGAAAAATTTCTCAGTCAATAAAATGCAAATATTAATACCTACTATTCATTATACTGATGACTGAGGACACTATGACTTAAGACAGGAGAGCCTGGCATATGGTGAGGTGTTAATGCACCGTGCAGCAACACTTGGACTCATTTTCTAGCCGTAGGTCTCTACATAAGAAAACTTTTGGAATTACCCTCTGTGTACCTGATGTATAGATATTAAGCTTACAGTGTGTAACTCCAGTGTGGCTGTCACATTAACAACAAAATAAGGCTACACACACTCATCGGTTAAAGGGCATGGACATTTCTGGGACCCAAAATCCAAAGAGCTGCTGAAAGGTGGACCTTGGTTACATGCAAGACAGGCCACCTTGTCAGATCTCGCATTCACATGTGGACTCAGGGTCTAGATATTCCTCAGGGCAACTGTGAGGCAGCAGAATGGGGAGGTGGCCAGGGATGAGCAGGAAGGAGTTCTGGCAACACCACACCTGGGCTTTAAAATTATGAGTATTTCATGTGACTGCTTCCTCTTGTCATTTCCCACTCTCAAGAAAGTCTTAAAGATTCAGTCTTCCCAACTGCAGGATAGGAAGCAAAGAAGGCAAGCATAATGCTGCTTAGGGAAGAAGACTAAGGGGGATTCTGACTAGAGGGAGCACTCAAGACCAAGCTGGCCACACTTGGGCACCACTTTCCACATGGGGGGCTCCCACAAAGGCCAGCCTGGAGGACCCAGGCTCAGTGTGGAAGATGCTTGTTCCTTCACAGCAGCCCTTCCATTAGGAATGAACCAAGCCTCAGTTTGGTCTCTTAACAATAGAGTCTTCCTGAGAAACATTAGGCCCGTTACCTATAAAACTGAAGTCTCTTCCCACTATCTGTTCTTCTCCCCAGTCCTGGCAACACTCTTTCTATATCTTACTAAACACTGCACTATTTTTTTGGTCTTTTTCCTTTTTATCGGTACCAGGGATTGAACTCATGACTGCCTGCTTGCAAGGCAGGCGCTTATGGCGCTGAGCTAAATCCCCAGCCCCAACACTGCACTATTATGAATACAGTGTAGAACTCTCTGGAATTTTTGTAAGTAGTCTATGAATTACAGAACATCATTTTATGTCTATTTTAAGAACATAATTGTATCAGACTACATGCATCAATTTTCAGTTTGGTACTTTAGCACAGCAACGTACTCTGTTACAGGCAGTTTCACTGTTAGGTACTGCTTAGCGTGGTATCTAACTCAGCTGGTTTAGCCATTCCAACTGATGGCCTTCATGTTTGCCAAATTTGCACTATTGCAAATTACAAAGTAGTCATTCTTTCTGCACTACTACTTAGGATGTAATAGCATTTCTAGGCCCTAGGAAACGTAGCCTAACATGCAATTTCTGGGTCACAAGTTATGGTTGGTCATAGGTTATGCTGCATACATTTACTTTTTGATCAGCAGTTTATAACATTGCTTTTGCTTCACAACATCAATTTGTACTTGGTATTGCTTTGTACTATTACTTTTGGCCAGTTAATGGGAGAATAAAGTAAGAATGAATGTTTTGGGAGGCATTTTCCTCCATGGTAACTATACTGATAATCTTTCAGGCTTATTTTGAGTGGTATAAACTGTTTTCTATGCCCATTATGCAACTGATTGCTTTCCTTATATATTCTGGATGCTAAACTGTATTCTAAATATTCTACCAATGTGTCACTTGCCTTTGAAACTTTGCTTAA